CAGGAGGCCAGATGATTTTCCGGGAGGCCTCAGGGAGACCCAGTTGGCTTCAGGAAGCCCCAGGAGGCCCCGGAGAGGGCCAAGGATGGCCCACGAGGCCCCAGGAGGCCCGAGGAGGTCCCAGTGGGGCCTGGCCCAGGATGGCCCAGGTTGGCTCAGTAGGCTCCAGGAGGCCCCAGGAGACCCCAGAAGCTTCTAGTAGGCTTCAGGAGGCCCCAGGAGGCCCCAGCAAGCCCCAGGAAGCCCAATGAGGCCCCGAGAGGACCCCCCGGGAGACCCTAGGAGTCCCTGTGCGGTATGTGGTTATGGTCGCTGCCACGCGGGGGGGGGGTACGCCTCCCAGAAGGGAAGAGGATGTTGGAAGAGGAGAAAGAGAACTCGCAAGACCTAGACCACCTTAGCCCAACGACGAGGTTCCCGACGTCCTTGTTTGCGTTCGCTTTCAGACCTCCTGGTCAGCGTCAAAGACCGACGACGACGACGACGACCACCGCTGCAGGCCATCGCGGAGACCGCCGCCGCGGTGGCGCGGCTCGCGCTCCTCGCGCGCGCCTTCCGCGAGCGCCTGTGGAGCGGCGGCGGCGAGGCCGCGCCCCCTGGGGCTTCCCGCCGCGGGGTGCGGACGGAGCCTGTTGGAACGAGAGGTGGAGGCTGTCTTGGGGTGCCGCTTCGGTTCCTCCGATCCGATTCGGCTCGGTGTCGATGGAGTCCGATTCCAAATTCGATTCGGCTCGGGCTTCCGATGCGGACTCCGATTGCTCAAAATGGAGGCCTGCGACCCTGTCGCTTTCCGTCGATTCTACTTCTCCCGTCTCGGCAGCAGATTTTTCCGCCGATCCCATTCACTTTGATCGCCGATCCGATTTATCGATTCGATTTGGGGCTCTCGTGATCTTGGTGTGCCGTTACATGTGCCGGGTTCCGAGCCATATGGCGTCATCTCTGCGGGCGCCGCTGAGCCTCGGCGCCTTAGTGCAGACGTCGAGCTCTTGAGAGGCCGCGAAATCGCATACAGTCGGACCGAGGTATAAGATCGAGGTCGGTTTGGGGAGGGTGCCCTAGTGTTCTTCGTGTTTGTTGGATGTTCTTGTGCACCCTGGGAAGGGTACCCTTGGATGTCCTGTTTGCTCTGGCCGACGGAGGTTCTCATGTTCTTGAAGGATGCTCTTCAGGGCTAGGTCCGGCTGTACTGTCCTCGTTGCGGGCAGCAGGCGGTGGTGATTTCGAGTCCGCGCGCTGCGCAGGCCGCGCCCTTGGGCCCGCCGCGGGGTGCAGGGAGGCAGCGGGAGGAGGATGGGGGAGGCGTCTCGACAACCGGCGCACCCACCTTGCAGAGGCCCGCGCGAGGCTGGATTTGGGCAGGCACGCGAAGAACAAATCTGCGACGAAATCGTTTTTTTCGGGCACGTCCGTCGGCTCTCGGCGGTCTTCCGGCTTCGGGCTGCGCTCCAGCAGCTGCGCCTCGCCGAGAGCGACTACGACGTCTACGGTCAGAAACTTTCTCTTAGCGTGTCGTGCCGCCGGTTCTGGCCCACCGCGCTTCGGCGCGACAAGCTGACCACGTCCCCATTCCTAAGCGTCAACGTCCTGGGCCTTTTTTCCAGCCTCCCGCCCCGCGGGGCGGAGCGACACGCTATCCGCTCGCAGGGCACAGCATGTCGCCAGGGCCGCCGCCGCGACTCGCTGAGCAAAAGTTCACCATTGTAATGTATCTCGGGCGACTGCACTGTCGCCGAGTGGGGTGGGGTGGCAGCGGGTGTTGGCGTCATCTCAACATGCTGATACTATGTGTGTGTGCGTCGCCCCAACAGGGCGACGCGCGCACCGAGAAATCTTATATTGTAATCTCCGTGGCGGGCGCTTTCTTCTGGCCGTCCCCTTCGGGACGCTATATATTAAAAGATGTCAACATGTTTGTGCTATATGTTTGGGTCGGACGCACGCCTCCGAGGAGGACACACAGTATTAGTACGCCCTTCTGCGTCCCTTGGGGGGGGTGGCAGGGGACGTCGGGGAGAACCTCCGTGCCCACCTGCTCCTCCGTTGGGCAACTCTCGGGGAGCTCTTCCGAGGCGCGTCCCCCTGGGGCCGCCGGGCGGGGTGCAGACTTGAGCTTCTTGGCGCCAATTGGCGGTGGCTTTGGGCAGGCGCGGGGCGACACTCTGCGACGAGATCGCCTTCGGACGTCTTCGTCGGCTGTCTGCGTGTTTCCAGCCCGCCGCGCAGTGCAGACTGAGCTTTTTGGCGCTGGCTGTGGACAGGCGCGGGGCGCAAACCTGCCACGAGATCGATTTTGGACGCTTTCGTCTGTTCTCGGCGGTTTTCCAGCCTCGAGGTGCTCTCCAGCAGCTACGCCTCGCTGGCAGCGCTCTGGGCTTGCCCAGATCGTCCCGAACAGCGTTGACGTCTGGCATTGGGCAGGTACGACGCGCGGCGAACATCCTCGGAATTCCAGAATCAAATTTAGAGGGTTGAGCTTTTCCCAGTGTTTGGGGTATTTGGGAGGCCCCTCGTGGCCACGGCGGGGTCCTCTTTTGGCAGAGAGCATCCCAGGAGAGGTCCGCGGATCGGCTTGCAACCCTCGACCCCAGACTCCCGACTATCATTTTTCTTGAATCCCGGCGTTTTCCCTCGATTTCGGCCTCTAGGGCTTGTGATCGGGCCCAGGGGTCATCAAATATGGATCGGGGGCGAAAAACCAGCCCAAGGGAAGAGGTCGGGACCTCTGGGACCGCGGATTAAAAAAATCATGTCTGGGTATATGGTCAGGAACGTTTGCCCGGCGTGTCGCGCCGCCAGTTCTGGCCCACCACGCTCCGGCGCGACATGCTAACCACGTCCCAGTCCCCAGGCGTCCACGTCTCGAGTTTGTCCCAGACTCCCGCCCCGCGGAGCGGAGCGACACGTCCTCAGCTCACAGGGCATGCCGGGCATGGCGCGTCGCTGGGGCCGCCGCCGTGGCATGCTAAGCAACAGATCCTGACTGTATTCCTCTTCCTGGTGCTGGTGTAGACGATCAGACACACGGCCAGAGATCAGATCGGATCACCCTCAGGCCTTCTCGACCTGCATGCCCTTGCATCCAGGTCACTTCTCCCGCCAGGTTCCAGAACATACCAGTTTCCTATCATCGCCGCCGCTCCGCCTGCTGCCACGTGCCATCGAGCGCCCCCTCGCGAGTGCCGTGCTGGTCTTCCGCACGTCTTGCCGGATAGGGCGCCGCAGTTCCCTCTGGCCCCCTCTGACCGGAGAGGGCTTAGCAGGCACGCGAAGCCGCCTGGGCCCGCCGTCCGTGCAACGTCGCCCTGTGTCCAGGAAGGCGCCGCCGAGGGAGTCCAGGCCGCGGGGCCGTGGACATGTGGGTGTTTCCCCCGCTCACGCGGTCCCTTCCCTCCATCCTCCCGGACCTGTGAGCTACCAGCCAGCCGGGCGGGGATCACGACACGGCCTTGGCGGACCTGGGCTGGCGCTGACCCTGGCTGACCGGTCCCCGAGCGGAGGGAGGACCAGCGACACTATCACCATCAGCGGAGCAACCTCCAGCGAGGCGGTCCACGATGTCTCTTCGGAGGCGGCTTCTCTCCCCCAGTCCCAGAGTTTTCCCTCCAAAATCGGCCGCCGAGAAGAGACGGGGAACTCGGGGATACACCCCCATAGGGCTACCTGGACGCACCCTGTCGAGGATGGAGGCCCCCCTCCCCTCCCGTTTAGGTATCCTCGAGTTTGGCCCTAGAGTTGGGCCAGTTGAAAAACCTGCAAAGTCTGGGATTGGGGTCGCCATGCCCCTCGTTGTCTCCCCGAGCTGGAGATGGAGATGTCTCGAGCGGGACGCCATGAAACAGGTGTCCACACCACCAGGATGACCCTCCCTGGCTCTTCGCGACGGTGGTGGTGGTGCCCGTATTCTTGCTTATTCTTGTGGCCAATTTTCGTCATGAAGACAATCACGCCTGAAGAAAATTGGATCCTGAGTTTCCTGGAGAACGCCCCGGGGTCAGGTTTCTCTCGAGCCAGTTTTTTGGGCGGTCTTGGGCCATTCGGTGCTGTCTCACGAGGGTCTTGGGCTGCTCTGTGGGCCGTGCCATCTTCTCCGTCGAGGACTGCCCCGCCCGCAGTAGAGTAGAGCGATCGGTGTGATGTTGGACTTCAGCACTGGGATATGATGCCAAGCATGAGTCTCTGCTGGCATTGTTTTCCTTCGGCGCCTGAACATCATTGGTCGAGAGCGGACCCGTCCTGTTCGTCCGTTAACTCGTTTTTTGCTCAGTTGCTTAGCGTTTAGGAGGTGCGACTTGTTATTATTATGCAAGGTTGTTTTCTTGTTCGCGTGTGTCTTTGTGTCCCTGGCCGACATATAATCTCCTTCGCGCAGCTTCACCTCGCCCGCGCGCGCGGCACGCAGCGACATCGAAACCCGTTTCCCAGATGGGCCACTTCCTTCTTCATCCCGCAATCTTTAACACAGCAAGACAAGTGGCTAGTGAACGGGGCCGCGCAAATCACCTCTACCCAGACCTTCCCGAGTCGACCAGCCCATCCAGACAATACCACACCACGGAACATCTACTTGTTTTCGAAAGCAACATCCGGAATCAGTCTGAACAGCACATCATCCGAATTGTTGTTCATCAGTTTGTGACTCCCAGTTGGCCATTCCGAATGAATTTCGTCATGGCCTGCGTGGTTCATCATCTGGCGATCCAGAGAAGGATGCCTGCCTTCGGCTGCGCGTGCATCTTGCTTGCGTCCACCGCCAAGGCGTTGACTTGTAGGCCTCTCCACAAACGGTCATGTTTCGGTTACCTGCGCAGCTTGGCCCAGGCCCTGGAGAGGTCAAAGTATCCTCTCCATGTTTAGCGTGCTTCATCGGACTGTATTTCCCCTGTCTGGGTTTGAAGGATCTATAATCATTTGGTGACTCAATCTGGCGGCACTTCTCTTTCACTTTCCAGTGTGTAATGTTCTTTTTCGGATGATGGTTTTGGTTGGGCAGTGCTCCAGGCAGACACAGCTTGTTGACGTATTTGGTTGCGTCGTTCATTCGGCTGTCGCCACACTTGGTTTGTCTTTTGGACTTCCAATAGACCCTGATTACACTTTCGCAAGATGATCCATTCCCTTGAGGCCAGTACTTCTTCAGCTGTCACTGCGTCTTCGGCTCCTAGGTGAGCTCTTGTGTTGAGTATGCGGGGGTTCTAGCAGGTGTGCTTTTTGTCTGTATCCTCCCAGCGGAGGCGCCATCTCTCAAGGTTTCAGACGCTCTCCTTTTGGACTTCGAATTCTTTGCATCCCTCCGTAGCTGGTTTGGTCCCAGAGGCGTGGCGGTCAGCGACCGACGCTCTGTCCACATCCCTGCTGCTGCCTCCACTCTGGGTGCTTGGCGACCTTTCGATTCGCACTGCAGCTGCTGCAGTGTTGATTCGAGCAGGGCTTGTCGCCGGGAACATCAATTCTTGGCGCCAGGGGGAGCAGAGCATGGATGAAGAGCTTGGCCTTCACATCCGATTCTTATCCACGCTCCCACTCCACCCCCATCGCCACGCTCTGGCGTGAGCAGGTGCATGGCCGGAGCGTCGCTCGCCCGGTGGCGCTGCGCACTTTGCCGCGCACGATGCCCGGCCAGCCCGCAGCAAGGCCCGCGCAGGCCGCGCAGACCCCGCCCAGGTGGCCACTGCCCGCCCCGCGCGGCGTGGGCGCTCCCGCGCGCGCGCCGCTGGTTCGGCGCGCCGCTGCGGCTTGCAGCACGGCCTGCGCCGCAGGCGCCGCTCTCCGCAGCGGCCCCGGCCCCCGCACGGGAGGCAGGCGACGGCCCCGGACGTCGGGCGACGAAGGCCATACGTGTCCGCTGCCCCCTCCGGCCTGGCCCTTCCTGGGCCCAGGAGCTGTGTATGTGCCCTCCTGGCCAAGCCAGGAGGGCGTGGCGCAGTTAGACTCCGCTGCTGGGTTCACGATGGGCCCGGCCAGGGGAGCAGAGGATCTGTGTAGACCTCACAGTCCGAGGACCTGCGGGCGCGCGGCCCCGCCCCCGGCAGCGGGTGCAGGAACGCCGGCGCCGGCAGTGCCGTTCGGACATCTCGGGGTCGCTCCGGCAGAACTCCAGGCGATGCTGCGGCGTGACATCCGCCGCCGGCTCTCTGAGCTGCTGGTGCTGGGCTGGCTGGGGCGGCTGTACCTCCTTGCGCCCTGGGTCTTCAGGGCCCTGTTCCCGAGATTGTTCCAGTTCGGGCTCTACGAGGGCGAGCAGCTCTGCTTCGAGCGCGATGGACTCGTGGAGTGCACGCTGAGGGAATCCAGTGTCGTGGCGAGAGGGGTTCCTTTCACATTTCGCCTGCGGCTCGGCGGAGACGCCAGGCAAATAGCAGAGGCCACCCTGGTGAGCATAGGATGCGACCTCACAGCCACGCGAAAGGGGACACCGATGTGCGTGAAGGCAGCGAGCGCCCTTGGCAACACCGTTAACAATGACTGGACATCCAAGAGGCTACTGGTAAGGACGATAGTGCGAACAATATTCAAAGAACTTTCGCAGGTGGGCCAGCTCTGCAAAAGTCGGGTTGACTTGGTTCCGCTTGGTACAGAGGTCGCGTTCCACCCCAGGGAGGACTTGTTCGCACAGGAGGGCACGTCTCGAAAGTGGTTGCAGAAGGTGTCAGGATACTATTTTGCACAGGCGCGGTTGCAGGACGTGCTGTTTCTATCAGGCGCAGACAACGTGGCTTTCTGTTTTTATCCAGCTGCGCTGCCGCGCGAATCCGCCACTGCGCTCGGGCGGGCGCCTGGGGCAGGGGGGGTGGGCACTGGGGGGGTAGGCGGAAGTTCGCCAGGGGGTGCAGGTGCGGTGGAAGGTCTCCTACCAGGACTCTGTTTTTTTGCGATCTATTATTCGGAATGCCAAGCGGAATTTTTTTTGCCAAACAAATGAAACAATGTTGGGCTCGATGTGTCGGGGTCACGAAGCCAAAGTAACGAACAAAAGCAAGGGCCCGACACACAGATACAGAAACACACACACACACGCACACACACACACGCACGCACACACACACATGCACACACAGACGCACACACTGACACATACGCACACGCACACGCGCACACGCACACACATGCACACACACACACACGCACGCACACACACACACACACCGCACCACACCACACAACAACACACGTACACACACGCACACGCACACACACACACACCCGCACACGCACACGCACACGCACACGCACACGCACACGCATACGCATACGCACACACACATACACGCACCCACGCACCCACGCACCCACGCACGCACGCACGCACGCACGCAGGCACGCACGCAAACGTCACACACGACATACGACACACGACGCACACGACACACACGACACACACACACGACACACACACACGACACACACGACACACACATACACAACACACAGGACTCACGCGACACACGCGACAACCGCGACACACACGGCACACACTCGACATACACGACACACACATGACACACACGACACACACGACACACACGACACACACACACCACACATCACACACACACACACGACACACACGACACACACGACACACACGACATACACGACACACACGACACACACGACGCACACGACACCCACGACACACACGACACACGCGACACAAACGACAGGCACGACGCACACGACACATACGAGACAGGTGACATTTGTGACACACACATGACACACACACGACACACACACACACGATACCCACGACACACCCGGCACACGCGACACACGCGACACACGCGACAATCGCGACACACACACACGACACACACGACACACACGACACACGACACACGACGCACGACACGACACACGACACACGACACACGACACACGACCCACAACACATGACACACACGAGACACGACACACGACACACGACACACGACACACCACACACCACACACCACACACGACGCACGCCACATACGTACCGCACACCACACGCCACACGCCACACGCCACACACCACACCAAACCGCAGACCACACACCACACGCCACACGCCACGCACCACACACCACACACCACACACGACACCTCCCACCACACCACACCACACATCACACCACACCAAACCGCACCACACCCCACCACACCACACCACACCACACTACACCACACACCACGCACCACACACCACACGCCACACACCACACACCACACCACACACCACACCATACCACACCACACCACGCCGCGCCACGCCACGCGACGCCACGCCACACACACACCACACTACTTACACCAACCGCTGCCAGCGCGGTGGCGGATTATGATAGCTTGGAGCCCTTGAACTCGGAGAGCCCAGCAGCTAATATCAATCCAGAGGCTACCTGCTGCCGCTTTCTCTCTTCGCTGGCAGACATCGCGTGAGGTGCCATGGTGATCGCGCACCCCGTTCCTGCATAGAACGGCAGCAGATTTCCGCCAGGGTGCTGAAGCTCAACGTACTTAATGCTTGACGCTATCCAGTGGTACCCTCGAGAGGCCCATTGCCTCGTGATCGTGGCCTCGGGTCCCCAGGGGGGTGCTCCAGCCTTCTGGGGGAGGTCCCTGGCCTCATGGGACGAGCATTCGGTCGGCTTGAGCGGCCCGGGGGACGCTTCAGGGCTCCCAGAGCCCCTCGGCCGGCCGAGATGACTTGCCAAAATCGCCGAGGAGGGCACCACAGGCTCGAACATGCTTCCATGATTGTTTGGGGTGGCAAGCTTTTCAGCCGAAGATGACTCCAATATGGTCGCCGTTGTGCCCAGCGCGTCCGCCGTCTTGTGTCACCTGGGCCACCATTTCGTCCAGAATGTTCCAGGAGATATCCTTTGGGCTTTTTGAACGTACGTCTTTTTCTTGAGATCATTATTCGGGTTGGACGTGCACGGCGATCATACTGCGATGGATCCCTTTCGGGACTATGTGGAGCAATCTGTGCTGTTCAATTCTAGTGGCCTTCGGTCGGCCCATCCCGCCACCGTGCCTGGGTTGTGGGTTAGGGGCCTCTTGGATGTACGTTTGGATATCGTGGGAGGCCTCTCGGGGACCTCTTGAAGGCAGTTTTGGGGCCTCTTGGGGGCCGTTTGGGGGCCTCTTGGGGCGCTTTTTGGACCTCTTGAGGGCTTCGTGGGGCCTCCAATGCGCCTCTTGGGGTCTCTTGGGGGCCTCTTTGGGCCTCCTGGGGGCCTCTTGGGACGGACGGCTCGAATTGTCGGTTTGTGTTCTCCCTCTTGGGCCTCTCTTGAGCCGTCTTGCGGCCCTCTTAGGCCGTCTTGGGATCCTCTTGGAGGCCTCGAGGGCCGTCTTGGGGCGGTCTAGGGGGCCTCTGGGGCCATTTTGGAGTGTCGGAAGCCCGATAACGCGAGAGCGCTAAAAACGTAGAACAGCATACGGGAACGCAGTGAATGTTGCTCTTTGGGCCCTCTTGGGGGTCCCCTGGGGGCGCTCGTGGTGCTTCTTTGGGGCCTCTTGGGCCGTTGTGGGGCCATCTTGGGGGTCTTGGAGTGCTCTTGGAATGTCTTGGAGGCCTCTTGGACCCTCCTGGGCGCTTTCTGGGGCCCTCTTGGCCCGTCTTGGGGCCCTCTGACATTTGGAAAGGTCTCGCGAGGCAGCCCAAGAGCGCGCGAGATTGCCCAGGACATTTAAGAATCTATAACCGCCCAGTCCTGAGTACAGGGAACAGAGGACACATGAGAGCCTGAGGGTAAATCCACATCGTGTCTCGAGTCACGGTGGCGGATCTATGCTGTGCACCAAGTGACCTGTAATCTATGTGGATCAATCTAAGTATGTGGTGCACTCTATGTGGTGTGCAATAAATGCTGTGCAGCCGATGTTGTGCATTTGATGTGTTGCATTCTAGGTTTGGAAGCTATCTGGTGCAATGTAACCATCTGGCCCAACCCCTGTGTTACGCAAGGCACGTTGTGCAACACATATATGTATACATACATATTTATATAGATACGTACATACATTGACATTCAAATCTACATATATGTATATATATATACATATATATATATATATCGCAATCTGTTTTTCCCATCAGTGTTTGGCAATCTACGTGGTGTGCAATCTAGGTGATGCAATCTATGTGTTGCAATCCGTGCTGTGCAGTATACGCAGTGCAATATATGTGGGGGTACCTATGTGGTTCTTGTGCAAACGACTTGACACATTCCATGCTCTTGCAAACATCCCACCCGCCCACTCATCCGCAACTTGGTTTGCAAAACCCATGGGGCGGCGAGTGTGATGAGTGCTTGGCGTTGGCTGGTGCATCTCTGCGGCCGCGCCAACCCAAACACGCGCGCGCAGCGGCCAGCTAGTTTGGCGCGACCGACGCGGCCGCGGTGGCGTTGACCGTTGGGCGCATCTTAGCGGGCACATCAATGCGAGTCGGCGACTTGGGCGGGCGCGGTGTCATGGCAACGTCGGCAATGGTAGACACGATGATGCTAGTACCGATGCTGGTGGCGATGTTGACAACGACGACGGCACGGCCAGTGCCGGCGCCGATGCTAATCACACTGGCGACGATGACGGCGTCTTCGTGTCGATGATGAGTGGTTTCGGAGAGAGTTCGGCATGCGCGCGGCCGACGCGCGAGAGTGGCCCACATGGTATTATTTGGCACGGAACGTGCCCCCCCCAGCGTGCGCGCAAGGGCGTGCGAATGATTTCGGCATGCGGCGCGAGAGGCCCGTGTGGCAGAATTCCATAACAATGGTTGAACAACTTGCGTTTTTTTATGTTGTTGGAATGCGCAAAAGCGCGATCGCAGGCTTTTTGAAAATGATGTCGCGAAGCCGTGTGTTGTTGGATGGTTTCGGGATACTCGGGTTTACCATCCCTACGAATACTAAGGTTTCCGGCGTGCGCGCGCGACGACGTGCGCGTGCGCACTTCGTCCCCGCTTTTTGCAAACATATTCTTGTGACAGCACGCGCGCAAAGGGCGTTCGATCGATTTCGACATGCGCACTCGCAGACCGTTTGGTAGCATTGTGAAAACATGTTGACAACCGATGGTCAACTGAAGAATTCGCAAGAGCGTGAGCGCAAACTTTTTTCTGAACATCCTTGTTGCCAAATCATGTGTGTTGTCTATATTTTTGGGGCACTTGATTTTGAAATCCTTACGACACATGTTGTTTGAAGGATTTCGGCATGCGCGCGCGACCTCTCGCACGTGCGCACTTCGTCCAATGTGTTGCCAGGGTGTCATGAAAACTGATGTATGATAAACGAGTGTGCGCGCCAAGTCTTTTTGGCAGAGGATGGCGGGGGGGGGGTCGATACCAGCCTGACTGGGATGGTATGAGTTCATAGTTCTGATGGACGGTGGGGTAGATCCACATGCAAATTGCAATGCGAAAGTGGGGGCGGATAGTCCCAGGGGGTATAATCTAATTTCGAAAGAAAATGTGGTGCAAAGTATGCTGTGCAATCTATGCTGTGCAAACTAGTTTGTGCAATGTCTGTGCAATCTACATGGTGCAAGCTCAGTGGTGTGCAATCCTTGTGGCGCGTAATATATGTGTTCCAACCGCCGTGATGCAATGAATGTGGTGAGTTTTCTAGGTTGTGCAGTGCATGTGATGCAATTTTTTTTTTAAAAAAGGTGCAGCCGACGGGAAACAGGTCCTGGGTTTTGCAGCCTGTATTGTGCACTCTATGTGGAGCAACGAAATTATGTTCGCAGCAGTGAATTGTCAATTTCATTTTTGGCGCAATCATCCCACGCACCCACCCGCAACATGGTTTGCAAAACCCATCGCCATGGCCGCGCTAGCGCACCCAGGCTCGCGCGCACAGGCTCGCGCGCAGAGCGGCCAGCGGGTCTGGCGCGACCGACGCGGTCGCTTTGGCGATGACCGCCGGGGAGTTCCCAGCGCGTCTCGCATGCCGCGCTGTCGCGCGGGCGCTGCAGGGCGAGTCGGTGATTCCGGCGGGCGCGGCATCATGGCGACGTCGACAACGGCTGACACCATGATGCTAGTAGCCATGCTTGTGATGGCGATGACGATGAGGACGGCAAGGCCGCTGACGGCGCCGATGCTGATCACGCCGATGACGATGATAGTGTCCACGTGTCGGTGGTGAAGGTTTTGGAAGGATCTCGGCACGCGCGCGTGCCCAGCGCGCGCGCGAGTGATTCGCGTGGTATTATTTCACACGGGTCGCGGCCCCCCCCCGCCCCCAGCACGCGCGCAAGGGCGTCCGAATGATTCCGACATGCGCGCGCGAGGGGTCCGTTTGGTCGCATTTGATGCATATGTGTAAAAAACAAGTGTTTTCTTGCTTAATAAGACAATCGCGAACCCGCGCGCGTACCCGTTGGAGAACGCTCCTGTTGCATAACGATTTTTTTGTGTGAATTCAAAACGAGTTTTTCTTTATACGAATGGAATGTTGTTAGTAAACCAAAAGTGCACTCGGGGCAGAATTTGAATATCGTGTGAAACTTCAGTTTTTTGAAGGATTTCGGCAATCGCGCGCATCGACGCGACGTGTGCACTTCGTCCAACGTTTTGCAATATATTTGTTGTTTGCAAATAAATGGTGTTGATCCATAAATGCACGCGTTGAAATATTTGACGGGGATAAGGCGATGGTCAATCCTGCCTGGCTGGGGTGGTATGACATCAGACTTGGAATGGACGGTGAGGCAGGATGATGTGTAAATTGTGCATCCCCAGGGTGCACCGAGAATCGGGGGGGGTCAGATCCTAATTCTTGTTTAGAAAGAGAATTTATGGTGCGCAATCTATGTGGTTCCCCAGGGATCTCTTGGGGTCGTTTCGGGGGGTTGCTGGCGGTCTCTGTGGCCATCTTAGGAGGGGGAACTGTGGTGACCTTTCGAGTCCCCTCTTCCAGACGGCTCTCGGGGCCCTCATGGGTTTTTTTGGGGGTTCTCCTTTTTGGAGCTCACAGGCCATTTTTGAGCGATGGTGAGGGCATCTTGGGCCGTGATGGACGCACCAGACACCGATCCGACACGATGATAACGTGCAAAGCGTAGAATGATCCACAGGTTTGGCATGACCTTCAGGGCACCCCAAACTTCCCCAAAAACTCCTTCCGTAGCCAATTTGGCTCAAGCCAGTTTGACCGAAACCACCCGCTGGTGTGCATCCTCAGTCCCGTCGATGCCAGCTTGGTTTTCTTCTCTGGATGCCTCGCGAGCAACCGGTCGGCAGTCATGCTCCGCGCGAATATTTTGCGTGTGCCTAGGCTGGTCATCGCGGAGCACACCGGCTTGCAAAGCTACGTGGTGGGCGGTGTTTGTCTGAAGATCACGTGACTGCAACAACTTCGCTTGTGTGGGCGGAAGGTGGCACAGTTGGACAGCAATTTTGGGAAACATCAAGTGCGTCCCAATGGTGGCACCTTGTGCCCACAGTGCGCTCGTGACAAGAAACGATTGGGCTTAACGTTTGCCCCGCGCGATGCTCAGAATCGGAGGTGAGGGGGTGAGATCGAAGTGGAACGGAGAGCCCCCCTACCGGGAAATCGATTTCGGTTTCGTGTTCGTGCGTGCCGTGCGTGCGGGCGAGGCGAAGCTGCGTGGGCGGGCGAGAGGAAAGTCTCCTGTGTCTGAGGCGCGGCCGGACCAAATGATTCTCCACCGGGCGGCCAGTGGCGCGCGGTGTCCCGCCGGTGTCCCGGTGGTGTCCTCTGTGGCTGAGGCGCGGCCGGACCAAATGATTCTCCACCGGGCGGCCGGTGGCGCGCGGTGTCCCGCCAGTGTCCCGCCGGTGTCCCGTCGGTGTCCCGATCATGATGTTGATGATGATGATGATGCTGATGATGACGATGATGATGATGATGATGATGATGATGATGATGATGATGATGATGATGATGATTCTGATGATGATGATGATGATGGTGATGATGATGATGATGGTAATGATGATGATGTTGATGATGGCGATGATGATGATGATGATGATGATGATGATGATGTTGATGATGTTGATGATGATGATGATGATGATGATGACGTCGATTGCGAAATCGATTGTGATATCGGTAGTGAGACCGAATGTGATATCGATAGTGAGATCGATAGTGAGACCGAATGTGAGATCGATTGTGAGATCGATTGTGATATCGATAGTGAAATCGATAGTGAGACCGAATGTGAGATCGATCGTGAGATCGATAGTGAGATCGATAGTGAGACCGAATGTGAGATCGATTGTGATATCGATAGTGAAATCGATAGTGAGACCGAATGGGAGATCGATAGTGAGATTGATAGTGAGATCGATAGTGAGACCGAATGTGAGATCGATGCTGAGATCGATAGTGATATCGAGAGTGAGATCGATCGAGTGCGACGTTGGTCCCTCCCCCCCCTCACCTCCTTATCACCCGAAGGGTGGTCGTATAGGTAATGGGGGATGCTTTTTGTCCGAAAGCTGTCAGCATGCCAAGAAACAGCTCTTATGGCAACGTTCGCAAGGTCGTGTCTGGCATACGACGTTCCGCAGTGTCCATATTGCAAGGACCTGGTGTCCAGAGTGCGCGCGGCTTCGGCAAGCTCTGCGCGTAGAACTCGCACGATAAGTTTCCGAATCGCGACGCGGACGGTGCCTGTCATTGGTGTACATCAGTAACGAAGCGGGTTTGACGTGGGAGTGTGAGA